TAAGGAGCTTTTCAACGCTCCTTACCATCCGTGGCAGTTACTACAAGCACCATTGTTTTTTATTGGCCGGGACTGCTGAAAGGTGTGCGGAGAGCACCCTCATCTATTGCAACCTTACTTTGTGAGGACATGTGAAATACCTCCTGCTTACCTCCCTGCTTGTCTCCAGCAGTGCGCGCAGGGAGTTTGCTTCCAAGCGTCAATCTCCGCTAGTCAGTTGAGCGCATGCTGCTCCCTCACCGCCAGAAACCCTGCAGAACATCACGCCAGCTAGAAGAGTGGCATCTTGCTTATTCAGCCAGCAATGGAGCAACACCTGGGTAAATGGGTGTATTTCTTTGCTCTATTTAGCCCTGTATAGGCAACGTGACATGGCCCCAAGAAGAGATGTTGCCCCGGGCAACCATGTTCTTTCTTGCAACCCTTTCCTTTTGTTAAGACCGGAAAAGCTTGTTGCTATAAGTGTTTGTCCTGCCCGCAGCAACCAATTATGTTTCAGAAGCCAGCTTTTCAGAGCAGGCTTCTATGGGCCCTCAGCATTACAACGGTTCCTTAAATTCAGACCGGTACTGGAATTTGAAGAGTTCTTGAAGTTTTAAGTATGGGGCTGAAACAAGTCATTTAAAAAAAGGTTTGTACAAGCTTCCCGAGAACTTACACATGTCATTTTAATTTGATATATTTCACCTTTTACATACTGTATCAGGCCATTTATGTCACAAGAATGTCTCCGATTTATACTTCCTGCCCCCAGGACAAGTCTTATGCCATCCCTCCTTAGTGTATGGCCGGCCTAGTCTCTTGGCTAGCCCAGGCCGGCCATACACTAGTCAAATTTCAGGACTCGGATGAAATTTGACCTGCGCAGCCCCATTGGGACCCCCCCTTCCCATTCGACAAATGGCCTTTGTCAAAGGGGCCGGTCCAAACATTTTTGGCCAAACAGCGATTGCAGACATTCAGCTGGTGTCAGATCACAATAGACTGGCAGGGAGGATTCCCCCATTCACACTGTTAGTGTGTACGGGGGAATCAAGACTCTTTTCCTCATTCAAGGGCTAATTTTAGCAATCAGACCAACAAGATATTGTAGCCACATAAGGTAGACCAAGGCTCGAGGCTTAGAAATAGTTCACCCATTCTGACTGAACTCCTAAAGTGGACATCTAAAAAAAAGTTAAACCACCTCACCTCTTATTATTCTGCTAGGAGTTCAGTTCTAGATGTTTGGACCCCGAGTGGGTGAACTATAGGTACAATGGACAAATTTCTACTAGCACACAAATGGGGCAACACAATGAGGACCTCACTGGACGGAACGGACAAGCTGGGTTGCAGTTTGGAAATGTTTATTATAGCCAGAAATAGGTTAGTGACAGCCATGACGTGTGGGTGGCTGGGCTTCACTCCTTGATGCCCTGGGCCACGACCTGTGTTGGCTACAC